ATATCCACCAAAAATTATAATTACAAATTAAATATGTTATTGTGAATTTTTAACGGTTTGAAAAATATATATTTATTTATTAAACTCAACAATATACTATACAAAAACATTTAAAACTTTAGATAGGTAACTACTATTTTAAAACAAAAAGTCACAAAAATATAGTCACAAAAGGTTTTAATAAAAAGAATCGTTACATTAACCAAAAAACAATGGTGTGAGAAAATTAATTAGTGATTTTGGGAATTTATTGTTTTTAGAACGCTAAATTTGTCAATCATCTCCTACCAAGACTCTCAAAAGAAAACCTTACTCCACCACAAATTGTGAATTAAAAAAACATAATAATTCACCAATAAATCGATGTAAAAGATAAACTACTAATTAATTTTCTCATACGAGTTTTTTGGGTTAATGTAGTGATTCTTTTTATTAAAAAATACGGTGTAATTTTTATTAATGATAGACTATTTTTTTCACATATAATATTGTATATGTCCAATAATTTGCTCAAAATGCTTAATCTTTAAAGCTATATAATTATTTAGTACAACAACAACTTTTTATAATATTAAATATATAAATAATTAATAAGCTAGAACTATTACATATTTTTATCATGTTAATTTTTAAATCCACGCAATGCGTGCACAAATTAATTATATATACAATGCAGAGTTCAAAAAGGAAAAGACTATATGTGTCACAGAAACGATTAGGCCCTACATAAAATAACATATTTTGTAAATAAAAATTTACTTTCATACAAGCAATTTTACTTTTAGTTGTATTCAACAATTCAACTCTCTTGCAAAAAATGTTTTTTCAGGTATAGTGGAATTATTTATTTACTAAATTCACAAAAATAGAAAGTTTATATTTTCAATGCGCAAGTAGAATAATTATTTGTATTATATTAATCGATTGACTATGTTTTTTTTACGTCTAATATACTAAATTCAGAACATTTTATGAAAAATAATCAGTAAGCATTGAAAAGAGATTTATATAACAGATTCACACAAACAAACAAAAAAAGTTGGGAATTTAAAATATCAGAACCTGGCTAGTGACACAATGAGCGAATGTGATGAGCACAAGAAAAAGAATCAGGATTGGTTGGTTTTCTCTCAAAATCTTCGACCGGCTTGAGACTATTGTTGTTATCTACAAACTCCATATTGTGGAGATAATTGGTTTTCCCAACACCTTCATCGAAGAAGCGGTAAAATCCCATCTCATTGCCAACACATTGGCAATATAGGTATATATTTACTATATTATATGACACTATTTACAAAAGGTTTGTCTGGAGGGGAAAACTTTGAAACTAACATATTTTGGAATTTGGATAACTAAAACATGATAATCTTTAAACAAGTTTATTGTATCTCTTTCATAACTTAAATCAAGAGACTAGATTTTAATATTTTAGGGTTTTAGCTTTTTTAAGCAAAATATAAGGAAAACATAAGTAAAAAAAAAATATATCAAGAGACTAAATTATCTTAGCTTACATAAATGTTGAAAACTTCTTTTAGTTGTTTAAACCTTTTTTTTTTGGGGGCAACAGTTGTTTAAACCAAACCACCAAATTTTAGGATGAACTAATATTTGTTTTCACTTTATTTTCTCTTTAAAAGATAATATTTCCGTTTGATAGTTCATTTTTTATATTAAAGTCCCACATAATTTAGTATAATGGTATTAATTAATACAATATTACTAGGCAAGACCCGCGTCCTGCGCGGGAGTGAATTTCTCGAGAAAGTATACTGCTATAATGTTCATGAGAGAAGACTGTGAGTCCTCGTGCTTATAC